ACTGCGGAGGGCTGTGCGCTCTTGTCCTCTGGCGTTGGCCTGTATGTAATTACACCATGACGCAAAGGGGACCATCAACTCCTTTCGGCTTTTATAGTCAGCTGGGAATTTATATTGTGAAGTATGCAAATGTCGTTATTTCTAATAGCCCAATAACTGGGTTGGGTTACATCACGAGTTGTTTAAATCGATATCTTTTCAAGTTGCCAGCAAGACGATCCGGGCATGTGAGACCTCAGTTAACGTTAACCACCGATCCAACAGATCAGGTTGATGTATCAGCTTTTCTAGAAGTGATTGGACGTAAAAAGCGAAGGAGGGCGCTCTCAAGCTTTTCGATACCAAGCCGATGCTTAATCCGCAGTAATTCGAGCCCTCAGTCCCTCGGATGCTATTATGTTCCTTGAGATCAATCTCGCTTGTATTACCTAACTTCACAACTAGTCAAGCTTTTACTTCTCATAATCCCTGCCTTACCCGCAGGTAATAAATCATTTTAGGTGAGGTTGAACATATTGCAAGGCCTCATTCATTTAACATTACTGCAAGTCGAAACTTCTTCAAGAAATAGAGAAAGTTTAATTACACGGAAGACCAAATCATAGCCTGTGTAATAACTAAGTGAACTGTTCACCCCTTTTTTCTTGCTACGTCACTTGCGGTTCCACGCACAACGTCACTTGCGCTTTCAATAGGATAGCAAATGGTCTAACCCATTCTCCTGTATTCCAACATCTGCTCGGTACATCTCTCGTCATTTTGCGTTCACCAACAGCTCGCAAATTCTTTATCAAAGAAGCAGCAACTATCTACTAAACAGTCCGCCTTCTTCAGGTATCAGTTCTTTGACTTGCCCCAGCCGAGAGAACCTCTCTTAGTTGTTAGAAACGCGTGCATTGTCTCACCCTTTCCCGTCATCACTATCTGAAAGAAGCCTACTAAAGACAGTATTATCCTATTCGGTGTAAGCATGTGCCATTCCGCTAGAGACTCTGTTTCTGACGTTGATGTATGGAAAGGATTTTCCCACAACATGAATCGCTCTTGGCGTCTCAGGTGGCTTAACAAGCCTGTCTCACATATCTTGTAGTGGTATGGCAGAGGCTGCGACAATGTATACATTAGCGTAACTTTGCACTCAGTAGCCGAAGAATGCCGCACCAAATACTATTTTTTGAGGAAAGGTAGTATTATGTGTCATGATGGTGAGGGTGAGCTACCGTAATCCAGTCAAGACAGTCCCTAGAGGTAAGGGTAAGGGTAAGGATGAGTCCCCAGCAACCAGATCATTGTCGTCAGCGCCGAGTATTAGAAGAGCAGAACAGGTGGTCCCTTGGCCTGCAACAAGAAACTGTATGTGCTCTGATCGATACCTAGCAGTTGGTCCCCTGGAGTCTTCTTTAGTCCCCTTTTTGGCATGTCTCAGAGCCCTAAATTGCCTTAACGGGCATTTTTTGCTCTTGCTACTCCTGCATACTCCCGGAACCCTGAGTAATTCTTACTATAAGTGGGAATTATTGACTCTAGTGTTATAACAGTAATTGTGATTGTTGGCAACGGAGACGGTGTAGGTGAAAGAGGGATTCATGCCTTAACGGTTGGAGCTAGGCATAAACAAGACGTCCCAACAGACGTATACACCACACAAAGCTTTAGTGATTGCAGCTGATTTAAGAACAATGATATTACCAACGAACGTTTTCCGATAAGGCAAAGTGGTGTATGGCGTCGCCATCTCTTGCGCCATGCAAACCAGGGGGTTTGATATCAGGCATAGGTGCAATGTGGCCAGCAGTTTAGGTAGCCTGGTAGCGATTTGGGGTATCATTATATGCAGCGTCTTTAATTCGACCAAGCAATAATGCTCCAGGTTTAGTCTTTTGTTGCCGGCACCTCGTCAGCCACGTCTCAAAACGGATTCATGAGTTATCATGAAACTAATCAGCAATGTTGCTGTGCAAACACCAGTGGACAAAGGTATCCTATGTGAACCAGGTTCTGAAGCTATCGTGTGACCAATTTTATCATTACCTACCTAGCCTTTGTCCTTTTTGCATATCGATGGTAGAACACAGTCATGTAACAGTACCTACTCAGATAGATAGGCCATCTAAATATTTCCCTGTCGTCAACTGTAGGTATAGTACCTACATAGTGGTGGCAGGGTGCTGTGGGCTGGCTTTGGCTGCTGCAACACCCCTGCGACCCCTGCAACCCCGGCAAAGGAGCCCTGCGATAGCGTCGCAGTACATCTTATCGGCGCCACTGTAGCTTGTAGACCGCCTCAATCATAATCATGAGCCCCACTCTCGGTTGCCGGTTGACAGCATCCAATATAGAACATTCAATTCACCTTGATTGTCCACCTCTGCACCTCATGTGGGCTCCATTCATTGAGACCCCGTTTGTGTAGGAGTTGTGCACGTTGGTTTCCTGCATTCCACGTCTTTCTCCTGCTCCCTCTCTCTCCCTCTCTCACGTGCGTCGCCGACACTCACTCTGCCACCAGTTGCATGGTCGCTTCGGCTCAAGCGGTAGCGAGCAGGGCCTTGGCAGGTCTCCTTGAAGCCCTCACGACTTGCTACTTATCCATTCTTTACTCCCCCTCCCCCCCTCTCTCTACTGCTTGCTACTACAGCCTTCTGTTTTCCCGGGAGTAGCCCGTCTGCGCCATGTCGACAATACTTACCGATAAAGACATCGACGATGCCTCCAAGAAGCTAGCTGCATTCCGGGCAACTAGTGCCCAGGAGGACTTCCTTCAGCGGTACGCCGATCTCCTGTTGAGCTACCAGCAACTGAAGAGTGACTTCGAAGAGGAGAAAGTCAACCGAGAGCGCTATAAGCAGCTCGCGCGTAACCAGGAACGAAACCCCTTTGCACTGGTCATCATTGATGGAGACGGATACATTTTTAAAGATGAATTCCTTCACATGGGTGCTGATGGCGGCTCGCGCCTAGCCCAGCATCTGAACAATGTAGTTAAGCAAAGCCTCCACAAAAAGGGTCTGGACAATTGCGATATAATGGTCCGAGTTTACGCTAATCTTGCCAACCTATCCCGAACTCTCTCCAAACATGGACTTGCAACCCCTGATAAGCGATCTCTTGCCCCCTTCGTGGCCAACTTCAACCGATCATATGGCCTAATGGACTTCGTCGATGCCGGTGAGCTCAAGGAAAACGCCGACTTTAAGATACGAGCTCTTATAAACCTATATGCCGAGAATGCCCAGTGCAAGCACATTTATGTTGCGCTATGCCATGATGTTGGGTATCTTGGGGAGTTGACCAAGTTTAGAGGGCACCGGGACAGATTTACCCTCATACAATCATCTGGTCTCCTTTTTCACGACCAGTTTCTAAAATTGGATCTGGAAATTGAAGAACTACGAGGTGTCTTTCGTACAGTGCCGCTCGAGGGGCTCGTCCTCAATACAAAGCCTAATGCAAGCGCCGATCAAATAAAGACTACCCCTCCGGTTGGCGCTTCTGCTATAACCAATATGGCCCACCGCGGCGTTGGTTCTCGGGAGGCCCAGAAAATATGTCAATATTACCCGGTTGGTAAGTGTCGATATGGAAGGGAATGCATCAACGCACACATCGATACCAGAATTCCGGCCTCAAGCAACCCAACCAAGCCCCTTTATACCTCTCAAAGCAGCCACTATGGTAATTTCGATGACACTGCGAGCGGTTCCGGTCGCGTAAAGTCACTAGTCACGCCAACGCTGTTTAAATTTGACAGTGGTGGCGAGCCTATAGATCTGCTGCCAAGGAAGAGCGAAATACCGGATGGCCACGTGGCTGTGAACAAGAACTCACAGCGCCTAGATCCATACATCCCACCCCCCAGCCCAATGGCCTCTTCCAGACTCAGGGAACTATCTAGCATTAGAAAGTTCTGCAACAACAAACAACTCACAGATTCTTGCACCGACGAGAACTGCAGATATGAACACAAGCCACTCCCAGAAGAACTACTCCCTGCGCTAGAGTGGCTATCGCGTTCGCTACCTTGTAACAATCGAGGGTCTTGTAGAGAGAAGAACTGTGTTCAAGGCCATATGTGCCAGAATACGGAGTGTCACCACCGCGGTGGCAAGATCAAGTGCAAGTTGCCAGCATATGCACATGGAAATCTTACTTTAGATCACTACGTCCCTGCTAATCCGGACAACGGGAATAATGCAACCAACAATCATACCCCCCTTACAGCCTCGCCCTTGAGCAGTCATGTGAATCAATTTCCCGATGGCGAAAATCCATGGGACTTTTCCTAGTTCGACACAGCTGCGGAACGTGGAAGTGGCTATGGAGTACGTGGGGAATCCGACGAGAATACCCCATTATCAACTGCGAATATCCACCAATCTCTATCTTCCTGATGGATTGTGGTTGGCCATAGGTGTCGTCTTTCGCGGTCTTAACGAGCGGTAAAGATATAATGTCTGTTACCATAAGGTATGCCCGATATGTTGACGAATGTAATAAATTCGCCAAATCCGGTATACCCGCAATCTCAACCTCCCGGATGGAGGAAACTATACAAATGTCATGAAAGCGACTATCAAATTAGCTTGATGATACAAATGCAAGGATGAGAATCCCGCGGGCAGCGCCGGGGGGAAGTATCAGTGGCTTAAACAAAATGTGTACTCATAATACAAACTATAGGTACTCTACTCACCCTACCTCGTCTATCCCTGCAATTGTGACGCAAATAACACGAATGCCAGCACATCTAGCTACCTAGAGGTATACCGTAGTACGCTGCTCAACATCTACCATCATCTGTTTCCATCATTCATAACGATGCCAGCCCCTCCAAATGTAACTTGTTAGCCCTGTTTGATTGCCAAGACCTTCGTTCTCGAATCGGGTTTCGACCTGCTCTCGGCTAAAACTACCCACATTAAAAACTTAGCACAGAATTTTAGTCAAACTAGGTAGGTGAAACCGCATCTACAATTCAAGTCCAGCTTCGGGCTGGCCTTGGCCTCGTGGCCCAATGGCAAGGCGTCTGACTACGAGCGAGGGAGAGGGAGAAAGGGACCTCCTAACCTAGGAGAGTCATCCTACGATTGCTTCTTCACGATAATCAGGAGATTCTGGGTTCGACCCCCAGCGAGGTCATCCATCGCAAGATGATAGGGATTGTCTTTTTCTTCCATGGTTTTTATAAAGATATGCCGAAGCCTACCGGTTCTATTCTTCTTTTACGACGTCTTTCAACCTCTCCAGGTTTGGCTTACAGCGTTCAGTCGATAGTCAAATGCTAATAAGCTTCCCATCCTCTTGTTTTAGCTATTCATACCTATGTATAGGTAGCATATAGTAGTACTTAATTAGGTACTTTCCACTCTATCAAACCAAATGAACCCCGCATTAGGGTCAAGGTTCAACCCCATTTTGATGGCCCTGTCATCCCGGAACATAAACTTCGACGCCATAAGCCAGGTGGTGCGTGACAGGGAGTCGGTGCAGCACATAATATATTCCGTCTGCTCGCGCACGTGGTCGAAAACCAGGAAGAAGCCGCCATTTGATCTATCAGTCGCATCGATGAAGAGTTTGCCATCCTTGACGTCCACTTTCATCCCTTTATAACCGGGGTTCCAATACTCGCCTGTGTACGCACTTAACGGCATCTTCTGCGGCTCTGCCTCTTCACGCAAGACACGTCGAAATTCCTTCTGCTTGGGGCTGTCTTCGTCCTCGTCCTCGTCCTCGGCGTCTTGCAGTTTGCTCCAATCCGGCCGTTCTGATACCGGCACACCCAGAACCTCGTCAATCAACTCCCGAGACAGGATCGTGGCGACATCTCCTGCGTCGGCCGAGTTTCCAAATATAGCACCCCCGAGTTTAAAGTCAGGGACAAAAAAGAACCGACTTCCGAAACCATCTATCCCGCCGTCATGGCCAACAACCTGGTAACCTCGGTAGTAGAATATCTCCAAGCCAGCAGTGTAAAATACCGGCGAAGTGAACGGTTCCAGGTCCTCGCCCTCGGGGGATGTGATAGTTCGTAGTTTGGTAAGTCCTTTATAGACCTCCTCGTCGATTGGGTGTTCTTGATTCATCAGCGCCTTTACCCATTTGACGAAGTCGTTCACGCTCGTGATAATCGAACCAGCTCCTTGATCTTCAGGACTCTCCGAAATCTCGAAGCCAATGTAGCGCTCGTCTTTCTTATTCCACGAGTAGCCGGTGGCGATTCGCTCCCCAAGACCAAATGATCGACAACGCTCTGGTTGGAGGTGAGTTGAGGACATTCCCAGAGGTCCAAAGAAGTGCTCTTGGAGGAAATCGGGAAAAGCAAGCCCGCTCTTTTTCTCGACAAGGTACGTCGCAGCCGTATACATTAAATTGTTATACATATACTTCGATCGGAGTGGTGCCGTCATCGCCAAGTTTCTCAAGTTTCTCGTAACGGATTTTGCATCATCTGGCTTTGCAGCTTGTGGACCTAGATACGTGTCGTCGTGACTATAGATATCAGCTATACCAATCACCCCAAGCGTGCCTCTCTAGGTACTAACCGTGGCATGCCTGTCCTATGGCTAAGGATATCATCGACCGTGACTCCCTCCGTATATCCCTGACCTGACAGGACGAAGTCTTCGGGTAGTAGCTTTGACATGATGGCATCGTACTGCACGTCGGGGTATTTCTCGTCGTCGCGGACTAGTAAACCAACCGACGCGGCCGTCAACGACTTTGAAGAGGATGCGATGTCGAAGAGAGTTTCTGCAGTGCACGGCTTCGGCGGATCGAGTGATGCTAAGCCGTACCCCGCAGAGAATGTGCGCTCGCCTTGTATGACTGCGACAGCAAGACCAGGCACATGATGCTTTTGCATAAGTTCCTCCACGTGGGAAGGGAAGTCTGAAGAGTGAAGCAAATCCATAGCTCGATGATCAACTGGCTAAGGTTTCTCGAAAATCTCTTCGGGGATTGAATTGTCTCGGGCTACAAGCTGTCGGATGGCTGAGGACTAGGCACCTTCGCTACGTGCCCATTGTTGGGTGTACTCACGAACACAATGCGATTCAACGAGGACAACGCCTCAAATAATGTACTCAATCGGAATTTGTATTTGCCGATATCTACAAAGTGAGTCACCGGCAACGACGCTGCGCGTCAGAATGATTCAGGTTGTTTGGCATTAGTCACAGCATGACGACAGGTCCAGCTCGTAAGGCCGGCCAGTTGGAATTCGAGCAAACAGTCGCTCGCGCGCAGTTATGTATACGCCGTATAACCCATATACCGCAAGATTGATATATCCTACAGTTTTTAGGGCAATTCCACAGGACGAAGAACGATGACGATCGGGTTGGAAGTCATGCTTGGTGTTCGGGAGTTCGGGTAAGACCCCACAGCGCTATCTCAAAATTGAGCTTACGTCGACTCGATCTGCTTTCGTTCCGTCAGCCATCTCCAAGACCTGCATTCTTGATCCTTGGTACATGGTTTAGAAAACTTATGCTTTTGAAGCTAAAGCGGCGAGGACTCATCAGTCTTGCGGCTTGCTTACTCATCTCTTTAGTGTGAACTTGTCCGGATCACGTACGGATTATCGCCTCTGCGCCTTGGGCTTCTTCAAGGCGAGCAATGTTATGCTCTACCATGTTCGAACTGCTTCATTCGTATGATTGTGACGCACAGACACTACTACTGGTGTCCTCGTCGCAGGGCAGCAGAACTATGCTACTTGATGTTAGTCTCAGGTTCGAAGCAGCAAGTAGAGCCATGAGCGAACTGCAGATGGCCTTCGCTAGCCAGATGTCGATCGACTCAACTTCTACTCGCCCAAGGGTTCGATTGCTAGGCTCGCTGTATTTAAGAGAAGTCATACTAACATTCCTATCATTCGATCTCAAGTGCTGCTAACCCCCATATCGACGGAGATGGATTGCCTCATCACACCTTCCAACCTGGAATTGGAGATTGGGGTTCTCGGAGGTTTGCGCACCGAGGTTTGCAACGTCAAGTGCCTACCACAGTGCTATGTAGCACTTCACCTATTTCAAGGCGGGTTTTACTCGAAGTTGACATGCTGGTGACGAGAGTCGGCCATCAACCCCGCAACCCCGCACTGTACGCCAACCCCTCCTCAAATACTCCGTACCTAAGCACAGAGAGGGTGCAATGTGATTTTAGCACTCATCTCCCTGAGACTGGTCCCTAGACCCGCTATAGCGCCGGTTGAAAGACCTCCATGTCAAGAGGCACCTGCCGTCTTCAAGGACTCGACAACCACGATGATCGTGCCTGCAGTGAAAGATCCTCAATGATACATATAATTCGGAGGTGGGTCTTACCTTAGGTTAGGTACTTCAACGCCCAACCTGTAATCGAATGAAACGTGAAGTACATCCCTGCCCAAATAGGTAATCTATTGTATTGCTGTTGCACGACAACCCCTCTTCGTACGCCTCCCCTCTGAACGTTGCTGGCATCCCGCCGAGTTAAGTGTTGACTGAGTGCGCCCCAGCTGTCACATTCGACATTCTATCTCGCTCACATCGGGACGTCGAAACGCTGTCCGTGATTCCCCAGCCTTCAAGGTCATGGCCTCTCGTTCGTAAACAACCAGCAAACACGACACGATGGCCCGCTCGCGGCATGATATAAGCCATGGGTGGCAGCTTCGAGAGCATGACGGCAACCCATCGAGTGAAAATCCGTGGCTCCCAGTGCAGCATGTCCCTACTCAGGTTCACATGGATCTATTGGCCAACAAGAAGTATGTCGCTGACCCGTTTGTTGCAACATGACCTACTCCAGTGCACAACGTAGTCGATCCGTGTCCGGGTTGTAGCTCTGCAGCTCACACTAGTATAGAATATCAGACCCCTTCTTAGACCTCAACGAACTAGCCGTCCGGTCACTCGCGGAAAAGCAATGGACGTACAGAACACAATTCGCCAAGCCCGCCGAGCTATCGTCCGAGAGACCGGCTGTCACAGATCTAGTGTTTGAGGGTCTTGATACCTTTGCAACCGTCTCCTTAAACGGTGTTGAGGTTCTGAAGTCCGATAACATGTTTATTTCTCACCGGGTCGATGTGACTGGCCTACTAAGGGACACCAACGACCTAGAAATCCATTTCGATTCAGCGATGCTCCGTGGGAGAGACTTAGTCAAGGAGCATTCCCACGAACACACTTTCTATGTGAGACAGACGGAAGTCAGTCGTGTGCCTGTACGGAAAGCCCAGTGTAGGTGATATTTGAGTCGCTTGTCCACTGTTTCAGTCTATCTTGACATTAAGAACTTTGAGCCCCTACTCCGAGGTGACTTGAACGTCCGTATGCCTAGGAAACCAGAAGGAAATAGCTGACTGTTTATGGCTACAGATCATTGGGGCTGGGATTGGGGTCCTATATTGATCACGGCCGGCCCCTGGAAACCTATTTACCTTGAGCAATATGTCTCCAAGGTCAATGACGTTTGGACGGAGTGCGAGGTCAGTCAGGACCTGCGGGCTTGCTCGGGCCGTATTGTGGCCAAGGTATCCGAAGCAAAAGGCCAGTCCGTTAGGATATCATTGTCATTAGCTGGGTCAGTTGTTTTTGAGAAAGAGTGCACGGCCGATTCGGGCGGGATTGCGGAAACACCTTTCCTAATCTCCGACCCAAAACTTTGGTATCCGTTCACACACGGAACTCAGACACGATACGAGTTGAAGGCCACTCTAGGATCTTACGATACGTTGTCCAAGATGATTGGTTTTCGGCGGGCTGAGCTTATTCAAAGGGAAGACGAATTTGGCAAATCCTTTTTCTTCAGAATCAACGGCGAGGACGTATTCTCTGGCGGGTCGTGCTGGATTCCGGCCGACAGCTTTTTGTCTCACATTCCAGAATCGCGATATCGCGACTGGGTCCGACTTGCATACGAGGGAAATCAGAATATGATCCGCGTGTGGGGTGGTGGGATTTATGAGCACGATGCATTCTTCGATGCCTGTGACGAATTAGGAATAATGGTATGGCAAGACTTTGCCTTTGCCTGCGCATCCTATCCTACATATAAGTCTTACCTCGACTCTGTTGAAAAAGAAGCACGACAGAATATTCGGCGATTGAGATCGCACCCCTCGCTGATCATCTGGGCTGGTAGCAACG